AACACCCTCTGCAGCGCCCCGGACTGGGCGTCGAAGGCGCGCGCGCGGGCGTCCCCGCTGCCCGTGAACACTGTGGACACACGTGCCACTGGGCCCCCCGCAGGGAACCACCTGCCCCTCTCCACGCCCCGCCCGCCCGCCTCGCAAGCACGTCTTAAGGTCCACCGTGGGGACAGAGGGCGCCCCGTGGCAGGAAGGGGGCAGCACCTCGATTATCTGACTACACCCCGGCGTCGGGGGGCAGGGCCGCCAGGGCCCGGGAGGCGCCCTCTGCCGGCTGCGGCGGGCTCTGCAGGACGGTGGCTCCTGAGCTGCCTTCCTCGGGCTCCCCTCGGCCTGCGCGGCCCTTCCAGGGGCTTCCATCCCCCGGGCGCACCTGGGCCCACCCAGGCCGTGGGCGAAGCCTGGCTCCTCTGCCCAGTGTTCCCGCAGCTCTGAAGCCCCGGACTCAGGGGGCATCAGCCCCTCCCGCACCATCTGCGCCAGGCCAGCCCGCAAGGCGCCTGCCCTGGGTAATGACCTTGGCCTTCCCAGCAGAGCCCAACCCTCAGGGGCTCCCTAGAGCGCCCCCGCCCGACCTCTTGCAGGGGGGAAGCCAGTTTCCTTCGTGGAGAGAGGGACACTCAAAGCCCAGTGTCATTAGAATCACCTGCGGGTCTTGTGAAGCAGCCGATTGCCCGGCCCACTTGCATTTCTAACCAGTTCCAGGTGGTGCTGACACTGCCGGTCAGCGACCACACTGAGCACACTGACCCTCTGGTGCACTTATGGTCTAAGCCTGGGTTGGCCCAGAAGCCGCCCCCAACACCAAGATTTTAGTGCCAACAGATCATCTGGCAGGACATTCCGGGAAGTGGGAGCGAAAAAGGCCTGGAGACGCCCATACAGGTGGGCTCGTGAGCCCCTGGGAGAAGGTGCCGGCCGCAGGTCAGAGCTGTCCCACCAGAGGGCAGCAATGCTGGGCTATTTATTCAGCAACGAGTCACCGGCCCAGGGCCTCTCCTGCGGGTGTCCACCCCCGGCCCTCCTCTGCCCTGCCCCTCACAGGAACACATATGCGCCCGAGGACTTCAGGTGCTGCCGCAAGAAGCACCGCTGAACATGGTACCCACATATCCGCCACACCCACCCTGCGGCCCCAGCGAGGGAGCCACAGCAAGCACCCCCAGGGGGCTCCCTTCCTTACCGCACTGCCTGCCTATTCCCAGCCTGGCTGCTAAAGCTACCAGTGAATGTGGCCCCGGAGGGGTAGTTTCACATCTGGTCCTTCTCATCTCCTTTCCTGCTGGCCCCTCCCCACCAACTCAGCCAGGCTGCTGCACATCTCATGGGCGGGAGGGGGGCTCAGGAATTAAGTCTAATCATCTTGAAGCCTGCTGGCAAAGACCAAGGGCCAAGTTCTTTAACCACTGGCAACATCAGGTAGGGCGCCTGGGGATCAGATACAGTGGCAGCTTCCATCCCAGCTGCTGCCAGGGGGAGGCGCTCTAGGTGACATTCTTTTTAAATTAGAGGTAACGACTTGGGAGCAGACCATAATCGCACTTACAGGTTTGGACACAGGAAGAAGAAAAAAAAATAATTTGTCCGTGTCCTAAATCCCAAGGGCATCTCAGGCTCTATTTTTAGAGATCCGCATTCCGCCTTCATCTAACACCTATGCTGGGAAGCCAACGTGGATTTTCCACTGTGACTCTTCCCCCACCCAGTCTGTTCCCGGTTACTGCAGTGCTGGGAAGATGCCACTCAGGCTCAGTGCCGTGTGTGTGTGTGTGTGTGTGTGTGTGTGTACATGGCAGGAATGGCAAAACACAGCATTGGGGATCACTTTGGGAGAGACGTTTGGAACCTGGGAGTCCCCCTGCCCTGTAGATGTGGTAAGGTTGGGGGGTTGCTTCCCCAGAACAGTGTCTGTCTTCTGGGTGTGTCTGGGGTGTGAACACACGGCAAGCCAGTTGGACAGAGCCAGCAAAGCCCAGCTATGTGACAATTTGAGACCTGTGGGATAAGCCTACCCAATAAGCCATTCTGCTGTTCTTCCTTTACAAAATAACCCTGATTAATCCTGGGAGCTATGTCCCCAGATAGGAGATGTCAGTATTCAGCCTCTCCTGCAGGCAGTGGTCTAAGGAATGTACGTACAAGTCTTTGGGTGGGGCTTCCAGGGGAGAGCTTTAGAAGGGGCCTAGTCAGCTGGGAGACATTTCTTTTGCCCTTCCCTCATCTCCCTGCCTGCCTAAAACATGATGAGATGGCTGGAGCTTCAGCAGCTGCCTTGAACCACGAGGGCCCCCTTAAAGACCCTTAAAGATAGAAGATACTACGGATGCTAAGGATGATGAAGTGAAGTGACAGAAGGAATTGGGGTGCTGATAAAATTGACAGCCCCTAAAATTATTCTATCTGAGAGAAAAAAAACACACCACTGTCTCATTTAATTTAAGCCATTGCTCTCTGGGTTTTCTCTTATCTGTAGTCAAATCTAAATGCCAAGTGAAGCTGAACTCAGGTGGCCCTCAAGCCCAGCTGGACTAAGTGGTGTCACTTTGAGAATTAGAATGTGTCTTTGAGGCGTGCTCTTGACCCTAGGACCTCTGAACATTCAGGTCGATGGACCTTCTTGTGGGTAAAGTTAGGGAGGAGGGCCCCCCTTCTTCGGGCTTTCTTTGTAAATAACGCTGGAGGGACATGGGCATGGAGGTGGCCCGGTTGCTGTCCCTGGGCACTGACCATCCTGAATGGCAGCTGAGGCTCAAGGGGGGAACCTCAAGGGAGAAGCAGAGAAGCAGAGAGGAGGCGCTGAGCAGGGAGGACTTGGTGGGGGCGAGGAGTGATGGGGACAGGAGGTAACAAGGCGGGCGCGGCAGCTGGGGTGGGGCAGGGAGGGTCACTTACGGGTGCCCGCGTGGTACTTCAGGGCGCTCACGCTGTGTCTGTGGGCCGTGAACGTGCGCACTCGCTCCCCCGTGTCCGCCAGCCAGCACTTGACGGTCCTGTCGGCGCTGCCCGAGTACACGTGCCGGTTCGCGAGCTGAGGAGGAGGGACACGGGTACTGCTGGCCGCAGGAGGGACACAGGTGTCACTGGCCGCAGAGGGTGGCTCAGAGGCCCTCCCAGCCTCTCTGAGTGGAAGGGGAGGGGCACGGGCTGGTCTCAGTGCAGAAAGAAATGCCCCTGCCTGTGGGTCCCACCCGACCGCTGGCACCCAGGATCTCGCTGCTCCTCCCTGCTCCCCAGGAGTGTGGGGCCCGGCAGGCAGGCAGGCTCAGGCAGGCCCAGATTTGGGTCTTTTTAAAAAAATCCTCACTTGAGGATATTTTCCCATTGCTTTTCAGAGACAGTGGAAGGGTGAGAAGAGAGAGAGAAACACTGATGTGAGAGAGACTCATCGATTGGTTGCCTCCCGCATGTGCCCCAACTGGGGCCAGGGATCAAGTCTGCAACCGAGGTACGAATTCTTAGCTAGAATCGAACCCAGGACCTTTCAGTCCACAGGCAGACACTCTAACCACGGATCCAGACTGGCAAGGGCCCAGTTTCAGGTCTTGACCGTCACTTTGCCCTTGGCCAAGTCACTGACTCTACCCCTCAGTAGCTTCACGGCAGACAAGGATGGTGCCAGCCCCTCCTCCCTCCTGGGGGGTCACAGATATGACCCCTATGGTGCCAGCACCGGAAGAGCAAGGACCACCAATGTTCACGAGCGCAGTGACTACTACTGCCAGGTGTCAACGGGGTGATTACTGCCCAATCCAGTAGGACCGGTGTCCTCCTGAGTCCGGTGGGGACCATCGGGCCCTGGCCTATGAAATCATTTGGTCTGACCCTGCCAAGGCAACCGCAGGTGGGACTCAAAATTCAATAAATCTAGGAGCTTTTTTCATAGCCAATTTTTAAGTTGATCATTTTGTATGGCCTGCAAATGATGTTATAAATATCCAAATGGCCCTTGGCAGAAAAAAGGTTCCCCACCCCTGTTCTAGGGAGAGGAAATGTGGACACAGAGGGAGGAGAGAGGCCTCAGAAGTAGCCAACCCTGCAGACACCTTGTTCTTGGACTCGAGCCTCTAGAGCTGCGAGAGGATGGCTCTCTGCTGTTTCACCCCCGCCTGCAGGGTTCACTCTGTCACTCGGCCCAGCTGACTGCACCCTGGGGCAGGGCTGCACAAAGGAGGACCCAGGGACCTCCTGGCAGACGGGCGGGGCGGGGCGGGGCGGG